TCAATAAAATTTCAATATTTTTCAAAAAATATTCGTCCCATTGTTTTTTTTATTAGGAAAAACCTTGGCAAAGTTATAAAATATCATCAGCAGCTTTTCCAATTACTTCTATCAAACCAATAGATCGGAAACTGCAGCTTCTCTATGCTTTAATTTGTTAATAGATAAAGTGGTAAAACAATTCCTCTACACACTTACCACAATCACTGTCACTATCTTCTACGGTACTGGCCTGATCACCACTTATACTACTGCCGCCACCACCGCCGACGGCATTACCACTTCCCATTCCTTGGCCATTTAAATCTCTTGCATCACGCGAATACATGGAGGGAGGCGGTGAACGCGAACGATCATCATGATCAAGATCTTGTCCAACATGATTACGATACGTATGATGATTTTCCATTTCACGCAAACGTTCACGTTCATCACGTTGCAGGGCAGCATAATGAGCTGCAGCAGCGGCATTGAAACCATTATGAGCGGAAGGAAATCCCATTAAGGCCGTTGGTGGTAAATGAGCCAAAGGATGATGAGGCGGTAGATGAGGATGTGTAGTGGCTGATGCCGTTGAAGCTGGCGGTGGAGGGGGCAAATGTTGTGGATGTTGTGCATTGGCATTTTGGGGCGGTGAGGCGGGTGGTGAAGCTGCAGCTGAGGCAGCAGCTACTGCTGCATGTTGTTGATGTCTTTGTTGCAGCAAATGCTGCTGTTGAGCTATGTAATGTTGTAAAGCGGCATGTTGTTGTTGCTGGTTAAGTTGTGTTTGTGGCTGTTGGGAATGATTTGATTGATGGGCAGCCAAAATATCCGTTATCATAAAGCGGGAACGCGATACTTGTAAAGCGGATAAAGACTCGCTCGTTACTCTAGAGTTGGGTAAAGCTACAGAGGGATTTGTAGCTGAGGTGGACATTTCTGGAGGCATAGTTGTCATTGGGGGTTTTGAAAGATTTGAATTTTTATTAGTTATCGATTTTTTTAATATTTGCAATTTTTAAGTAAAAAATTTAAGAAAATCTTTAAGATTTTTTTTGTATGTTAATTTTTGACACTTTTTTCAAGTTTTTCTCTATTTTTAAGCAAAAACACTTGGCACTTGTTTGTTTTTCTTTTTGTTGTAATATTTTAATAATTTTCTTAAGTTAAAATCAACGTTTAATTGTGAAAACACTTTAATTTTATTTATTTTTATTCTTATTTTTAACACTAATTTGTTTTTCTTTTCCTGTTTGTGTTAACTTATCATTCGTTTATTCATTCATGCGTTTTGTTTTTAAACTACAGGTAGAAAAAAAATCATAAAATTCACGTCTTGGCTTAAATGCTGTTCGAACGATACTGACTACCAGGTGCTTTAGCCAACTCAAACAAACAATCGAAATGTGCCTCTTTTGGCTGTAAGTTAGTGGAAGTTGAAAAAACCAGTAATTTGTGGCGCCAGTTACTTTTTATCATTTAATATTTCCACATAGATATAAAACTCATACACACAGATACTTTTAATTAATAAGTAAGTGTGTGTGTGTTTGTGGATTTACTACTTTAATATCTTCCTTCCCTCTCTTACTCTCTTTATATGAATTATAACTGTTTTTTTAAACTCCCCTTTTTACTAAAAACACAAAATAGTCATTCTCTTCTATCTTTTTGACTCTTGTGACAACAACAAATGCATCAAGAAATAAAATTTTAATGCAAACAAGTGGCTTTTAGCACATACTCTCTCTTTTCTCTATGTTTTTGTTTCTCTAAGTGTGAACCGTTCAATATCTCTTTATACTTTTTCCAATTGTTTTGTTATGGGCATTTATTGGTCGTAATTGTTTTCAATTGACATTCATTAGTCTTCCATTCAATAGTCTTCAACCTTCCCTTGTTTTGCCAAAATATAAAAACAAAACAAATAATTACACTCACTTGTACTTGTAGTATTTACTCTCTTATAAGAATTTACCTTTGTTTTTGTTGTTATTGTTGTTTTTACACATTCTTACAATGGCTGTCTATTACTTTTATTACAGTTGTTTTATTTTAGTTTTGTGTGTTTTTGTTATCATTTCTGAGGGGAATTTTTAAGTGGTGAATTTTTTTCTTAACGTTTGCATGTGTGTTGCGAGTTTTAAAATGGTTTTTTAAATAGTGGGAAACGGATGTTTGTTTTATCTTTTCATTTGCAATAAATCTTTATTGTAGATTCTTTTAATAGATTTAAAAATCGATTATTTAAAGAAGCGAAAAATTAATTTTGAAAATTTTGTATTCTTCTTAAATGTATATTAATACCAATGGGGACCGATCATTACAATATTCTGTTATATCCCAGAAATAACATACATTCATAAGCATTTTAATATTTTAACAAGGTGGATGGCATTAGAGGCAAGTACTTACAGCGCTCGCTTACAAATAGGAAGTTAAAAATCTATGAAATTAAAGGTTATATTGTTCAAATGCAGACAGAAACACGTTTATTCCAGACATGTATGTTTGACCTCTAAGTTACAGTTACATTTGAGTGCTATGCAAAATAATGGAAGACTTTCAAGGAGTATTTTATGAAATAGAAAGGTCAGTTCACAAATTCAATAAAGGTATCTTTCAACATGTAATTATAATTGAGAGGTACTCTTCGGATAGAAAAAGGTCTGGACTATAAGGCTGATGAGGTAAAACTTCCCAACCTATGTATTAGTTAGAGTTTTTAACAGGTATTTTCAAGTTGTAGCCAGCCTTGTCATGATGGAATTCTACACTGACCGTATATTGTAGGCATTTTTCAGCCAATGCTCGATTCAAACGAATCAGTTGCATCCGGTACATGTTCCTTGTGATGATTTTACTAGATTTCAGCCGCTCTAAATATATAGCCGCATGTTAGTCCCACAAAATACATAGCATTGCGTTAGTGCCATGGACATTTCGCTTTGAAGTTAATTCGGCTGGATGACCAGATTTCAAAGACGATCATTGCAATGAATGTATTTGAATCTATTAAAAGTAATGATTCGAAGCAAAAATTATATTCCTTTGTAAAGTTCAAGCAGCATTTCGTTGTAAAGTTAAAACAGCACTTCGTCGAATTGTAGTCAATTTCGCTGCATTCCTTCTTGAAATTGTTGCTTGAGTAGCTGTCATAAAATTTATAAGATTTGACAACAATATTCCAATTCTATATCCTCTAACTGTCCTGGTCTTTGCCCTCTATATTAGTTAGTTAGTTAGATAGTTAGTTAGTCAGTTAGTTAGTTAGTTAGTTAGTTATTAGTAGTAGTTAGTTAGTAGTTAGTTAGTTAGTTAGTTAGTTAGTTAGTTAGTTTAGTAGTTAGTTAGTTAGTTAGTTAGTTAGTTAGTTAGTTAGTTAGTTAGTTAGTTAGTAGTTGGTAGTTAGTTAGTTTAGTTAGTTAGTTAGTTAGTTAGTTAGTTAGTTAGTTAGTTAGTTTGTTAGTTAGTAGTTAGTTAGTTAGTTAGTTAGTTAGTTAGTTTTAGTTAGTTAGTTAGTTAGTAGTTAGTTAGTTAGTAGTTAGTAGTTAGTTAGTTAGTTAGTTAGTTAGTTTAGTTAGTTAGTAGTTAGTTAGTTAGTTAGTTAGTTAGTTAGTTAGTTAGTTAGTAGTTAGTTAGTAGTTAGTAGTTAGTTAGTTAGTTAGTTAGTTAGTTAGGTAGTTAGTTAGTTAGTTAGTTAGTTAGTAGTTAGTTAGTAGTTAGTTAGTTAGTAGTTAGTTAGTTAGTTAGTTAGTTAGTTAGTTAGTTAGTTAGTTAGTTAGTTAGGAGTTAGTTAGTAGTTAGTTAGTTAGTAGTTAGTTAGTTAGTAGTTTTAGTAGTAGTTAGTTAGTTAGTTAGTTAGTTAGTTAGTTAGTTAGTAGTAGTAGTTAGTTAGTTAGTTAGTTAGTTAGTTAGTTAGTTAGTTAGTAGTTAGTTAGTTAGTTAGTTAGTTAGTTAGTTAGTAGTTAGTAGTTAGTTAGTTAGTAGTTTAGTTAGTTAGTAGTAGTTAGTTAGTTAGTTAGTTAGTTAGTTAGTTAGTAGTAGTTAGTTAGTTAGTAGTTAGTTAGTTAGTTAGTAGTTAGTTAGTTAGTTAGTTAGTTAGTTATTCGAATTAGTTATTCGCATTAGTTATTCGAATTAAATCTGAAGTTAAAGGTCAACATTTGTAAATAGCGGTTAAGTGCAATTAAATTCTAGCACAATTTAAACTATTTGATTAAAAAACAATATCCCGCTAGTAAACTACAAACAACAACAAAAAATATTCATTATAATTATCGCCAAAGGTCGGCACAAAGGTCAAAACGTCATAAAAACCAAATTAAATTATTAACAAAACAAACACACACACGCACAAAGTGACTAACCTAATAAACTAAAATAAGCTCATTATAATTCTAAAACAGTAAAAATGAAATTTTAACTTTATTACTAACAATTTAATTTAAATAAAAATCCAACTCAAACCAACGGCCATCTTGAAAAAAAGGTGAATTACTGAATAAAACGCAGAGGAGAAATTATAGCAAATTAAAATTTCCCCTTAAACGGGCAAACTTAATCACCCTAAAATACCCCGTTATTCATTACAACACTCATGGTGTATTGGTGGTGTTTATGGATTTCCACCTCTAGAGAGTTGAAAATGTTTGTATCTCATCTCTTTGATTTCCTTTTAGATTACAAATGTTATTGTTTTGCAGCATCTGTCTGTTTATCTTTGAAGTTTTTTCTCTCTTTCCATAACTCCGCCCTATTTTTGAAACATTTTAACTACATCTGGTTAAACGAGTTTACTTCTTTGTTGCTATTTTTTTTGTGAACAAATGAGCAAAGCATCCATCCATCCATTTATTCTGTACACAACCCACTTAAGATTTGTTTCTTTCATTTTCAAATCCATCTGAGAGATACAAGATACAAAATTTAATTCTTGCTATTTCATTCTTTCTTATTGTAAAATAACAGGGATATTGTTTGTTGTTTTTATTACAATTAATGATTTTTTCATCTTTATAGGATTTTCTGTTTTTTTGTATTTTTTTCAAAAGGTTTTTACTTCTCGTTTTCTCTTTGTAATTTTGTATTTAACATTTATATTTGTTCTTTTGTTATTTTTTCGGCTTTTAACACTTTTTTGTTTGACATTTAAACAGTAAATTGACGCCAGTTAAATAATGATGGTTTTGATGATGATGAAGTTCGTTTTGGTTTGGTTTTTATTTCTTTTCAGTTATGTGTACTTTTACACAAATTGTTTCATAGTTTTTTTCTGTGTAAGAAGTTAAGTAAAAGGGGTGTTGAAGTGAGTTTGAAATATTTATTTTTTATGAACACATTTTGTTTGTTTAAAAAAATTTTGCGCGAATTTAACTAAAAGTTGCTGGCATTGGAAGCAATAAAAAATAGTAGTATTTTTCAAAGAGATGAAGGGTAAAGATTATTTGTTTGTATTAAAAAACATTATTTTTCAAATGCTTTCTAATTTTATTGAAATGTCTTAATTGAAATTTATGGAGCTAATTGCTTAATATGTTCAATAAAATTTAAAATTTGGTTGTGAAACATTTGTTGAAATAGATAAGAGGTGCTTAAGTCTATTATACTAATTGATAAAATCGAATTGTCTTCTATAACATTACATGGGACAACAATTTGATATTTTTACGCAGAAAAAATAGAGTCGAGAAATCCATACTTGAAATAATCCTGTCAAAGTATAGTAAGTACGGTTTCACTAAAATCGGGTACAAAATACTTGATTCAAGTACGGATCGTATAAGTATGAAAAACCTAATGTATTTGTGTTGAAAATTATTGATTTCATTTACGATCGAATGCATACTTGATTTAAGATAAAAATAATATTGATTTAAGAATTAAAAAAAAAATTAATTCCTAAATGCTTAAGATTTAAGATAGATTCGTATACAAATATAGACTAGACTATAGACTAGACTATAGACTAGACTATAGATTAGACTATAGACTAGACTATAGACTAGACTATAGACTAGACTATAGACTAGACTATAGACTAGACTATAGACTGGACTATAGACTAGACTATAGACTAGACTATAGACTAGACTATAGACTAGACAATAGACTAGACTATAGACTAGACTATAGAGTAGACTACAGACTAGACTATAGACTAGACTATAGACTAGACTATAGACTAGACTATAGACTAGACTATAGACTAGACTATAGACTAGACTAAAGACTATACTAGACTAGACTATAGACTAGACTATAGACTAGACTATAGACTAGACTATAGACTAGACTATAGACTAGACTATAGACTAGACTATAGACTAGACTATAGACTAGACT